TTGCAACACTCAACTGAGCAGAAACCCAACTTAACAACTGATAACAATATATCCAGGTTTTTGGTTTGGTGGCAGAATATAGTCAAGAGCTTTAGATTCAGTTTATTCCCTAAGAACTTCATACTATCGGAATAAGGTCTCTGAAATTTGGTTCACACCTGCTTCAGGAGAATGGCAACAAGGTGGTGAGAGATTTGAGGTTAAGGAGTGACTGCCAGCCATCTTGACTTCCAGAAAGAGAGACATCTGCTGATTTGGAAGTTGCTGCTTCATTTTTTTTTGCCTTCCTCCTCCCAAGAGGTTGCCAGTTTTGCCTGTCTGCTAGACTTCAATTCTGTGGCATCGACTAAAACATCATACCACCAATTTCATTTTGCTGCATCAAAGGAAACACAGATGTTAAGGAAATTATGCTGCTTTTCTTAGACCTCAAAGACGTAGGGAGCTGATGGTGCTTCTGGAAATAAATGACATTCCTGATCTCCTACTGATTATATGTGTCAGGTGTCAGTTCCTAATATATCTTACTGCCAGTGCATTATTCCTGCACCCCATCCCACACCAACTGCTGAGCATTTCTGTGTCTGTGGAGGAATGTACTTTAGGCCCAACTCAGCAGGGTGGCTTTCAACATTGACAGGTAGGTGAGAACATGGCACCAGCAGGGAAGACTTTTGACAGCTGGTGAAATAATCTGAGACCTTCTTCTCATGGCTGCAAATTAGGCTCCGAGTGAGGCGCATCCTTTAGCCTGTGATCTCATCCTCTCTTTTGTTCCCAGGCTCTTCACCAAAAATAAAAAATAAACCCCATCAAGATGCTCCATGGATAGGCTAAAACAACCATAAAAGAAGGCAGCTGGGTGATTTAGGGGCAGACTGTTTCTCTGAGCCCAGCAAACCTCACAAAGTTGTTCTTGTGAAGAAGAGGAGAGGAGAGAACATTATATATGCTGCCTTAAGTTACACAAAATAAAGGTGGAATATAAATTGTATAAATAAATAAAAATTCCTTTTTGTATTGTCTAGTTTATACTTGCAAGCAAGGATGATCATAAAGCCAATCCAATACAAAGTACATGAATAGTCAGTGGTGGCTTTGCATTAGCAGAATCCTATTCTGTTCATGTCAGGTTGGCTGTTGGGTTCTCAATGAACCTTCGTTGTAGGCCTCCTCTATCTTCAGAAGTTGTTTTGAAAGGTTGGGGTTCTTTAGAAACTTTTAGGATATGGCACAAAGAACTAGGATTGATGGAAAGAGAAATTGGGTATCTCACATTGTGAAAGCAGGTGCACTACTATTACTGTAGGATACTGGGTTTTTTGTTAGTTTGTTAGTTTGTGTTGTTGTTTTGTTGTTAGTTGCAAATTCGTGTCCGACCCATCGCGAACCCATGGACAATGTTCCTCCAGGCCTTCCTGTCCTCTACCATCCCCCGGAGTCCATTTAAGCTCACGCTGACGGCTTCAGTGACTCCATCCAGCCACCTCATTTTCTGTCGTCCCCTTCTTCTTTTGCCCTCAATCATTTCCAGCATTAGGCTCTTCTCCAGTGAGTCCTTCCTTCTCATAAGGTGGCCAAAGTATTTGAGTTTCATCTTCAGTAATCTGGTCTTCTAAAGAGCAGTCAGGGTTGATCTCCTCTAGGACTGACCGGTTTGATCTCTTTGCAATCCAAGGGACTTGCAGAAGTCTTCTCCAGCACCATAGTTCAAAGGCCTCAATTCTTTGGTGCTCAGCCAAAGTTTCACATCTTTGTAGCCTCAATCCCTAATAATCTCTATCCCAAAGCTACCCCCTCAACAAACAGAGAGAGAGAGAGAGAGAGAGAGAGACTGCTTTGCATAGGATTTGAAGACTATTTGGGGATAGGATGCTACCAGCTCAAAACACTGGTTTCACTGTCATTTCTGAGACTTCAAACCAAGTTGACCAATCTAGAATCAGTTCTCTTGTAAACATTCTATACAAGAATAGCATAGGCTGTTGATAAAGAATCAGGTTCCAAAATGATCTTTTTCAATGTAGTCAGTAAAACCATTTCTTCTAATTATTAAACCATTTCTTCTAATTATTAAAGATCCTGATTATTATTAATTATTAGATTTTCCTGATGAAATTCCTATTATTCACTAGAAAAATCTGACCAGGCATTTAAACATTTTAAAAGAATTTTTAAACTCTAGCATGTATCATGGCCTCAGCCAGGGGTGGGATTCTACCGGTTCTCACCTATTCACTAGAACTGGTTGTTAACATTCTAAGCAGTTCAGAGAACCGGTTGTTAGAAGAAATTACTGGCCTAATCCTGTAAGGAAGGCAGGAAGGAAACATTCTGGTGTTGCTTACAGAAACTGCCTCTCCATTAACCCTTATTACATTCTTGGCAAGACTAGACTTCCTGTCTCAGGAAGTTCCTTTTTTCCTCCTTTGCTGGTGCTTTGCTTGTGTGGAATGACCATTCAAAGTTACAATGGCACTGAAAAAAGTGACTTATGACCATTTTTCACACTTACAACTGTTGCAACATCCCCATAGTCATGAGAGGCCAGGCGAGGAGATGCGTGCCACGATATGAGTGATGTTGAGTTGGCCACACCCAGCCAGTCACATGACCACCAAGCCATGCCCACCAACTAAGCCACACCCACAGAACCGGTTGTTAAAAAAATTGAATCCCACCCCTGGACTCAGCTTATCATATAGTTTTATCCCATATTATTTACCTAACTGAAGGTCTGTTCTTTAAATCCATTTTGAACCTAATTCTAGACTGACTCAGTTAAAAGACAGGCATGAAGGGGAACTTGCTAAGAGCTAGGTCTAGCTACTATACATCCAAACGATAGGTGTTCATATATTTTTCTAGTTAATAGTTTGTTCTTTACTGTTTCCATTCTATAAGAAGCACCAGGAGGTCTAGGTGGATGACTCATGGCTGGAGGGGGCCAGACAGCAAATAACTTTAAAGTTGCAGCCCCAAACCCAGAAGATATGTAAGTAAATGATCCAAGGAAAAGTATAATTGTATGTGAGTGTCAGGCAGTGAGAGAGAATTAATAATAGAGAAATATATTCTGTAATGATGAAAGAGAAAGTATTGAAACATGCATCCAATTAGTAGAAAGACACTGGCTTCAGTCTCATGGTGAAAAAAATAAGGGATTAATAATAGAAAAGTTTGAACTTAAAAATGTTACCATCTTTCATTAAGCAGTTTTGTAAAATTTGTATAAAACTCAAATGTTTAGCAGTACAATTATTTAAAAGTATGTAAACAATTCCTAAGGTAAAATAATCTTGATACTAGAAGTGTTGATTTATACAGACTGAATGGTATAGCTAAAAAAATGCATGCATTTTGTTGAGTAACATAAAACACTCCTTCTACAACTTGGTCACTCTAGTTTTATTATCAGTAAATTCACTCGGTAGACTACATGGTACAGGCAGCTCACAATTATTCATAAACGTTGTTCATTTTAGGAACTGTTTCACTCATGCTCATTATCAGAATAGTCTGTTCTGAGAAAAAAGTTGCTTATAACAATCTTCTTTTGTAACAAATTGCCTTAGTTTTTAAAAATGATTTTATATTCTCTAGCATTGCTCTATTTTCAGGTATAGCTTTTGTTTTAATGACTATGAAATACAACAGTGGTGGTCTCAACCCATTTCTTGGTAGAGATGGCATCCATGATGCCACTTTTTATCCTCATTTTTGACTAATGCAGACATCTTCTTTTCTGTGGGGCAGAAAGGATTCACGTTTCCCTTGATAAGCCATAGGCAAAATTGATATGCAAATCCTGGATCTTGTTAATGGGCTTTAGATGTTGGTTTCCCAGTTTGATCTGAATTGACTCAAAAAGCTCATGAACTACATAATACATAGTTTCAAGCAGCCATCAAAGGCATTCACAACCCTGTTGGGAGAAACCGAGTATTGATGAAAGAGAGAATTTATTGTGTATGTAAGAGAATTTCTTTCAAGGCTGATGTATTAAGGCAGGTTTCATGGCTCAGGGAAGTCTGGGACTGCTTTCAGTTTACCCCCTCCTTCATTTTCCCCACTGCAGTCACACACTTCAATTTAGACTTCATCACCATTAAATTGTCAGATGTTTTCTTAATGACATCACTCTTTTTTAAAAAAAATCCTGTTTTCATTTTTTCCAGATGGGACTAAAATTATTTGTAATGATCTCTAGCTGAGTTTGAAATGCAGGCTTTTTATTTGCTTTCTCGTTCCTCTCTCTCTCTCTCTCCCTCTCTTTTTCTCTCTCTCTCTCTCTCTCTTTCTCTATTAGCTCTTTTCTACCCGCATGAATTAAAACAAGTAGATTTTGCACAGTTCTTTTATTACCTGTAGCCTTTCCTGAAACAGGAAGCTGGACTTTTGCCTGAGGATTAGGGTGTAGGATTATGTCACAAATAAAACGTTGTTCTGTCTATAGGTCCCATTCTATGAAACTGGGCATTCGGAATGCTGTATTTCCAATGGAACCTTAATAACAATATTCTTCAGATGGCCTTGCAAATTATTTTAAATTGCTTACTCACATCCCTAAACATTTATCTTTAAATTACAGCTGCATTTTTTTCCATTGCCCTTGGTAGAAGGCTAGGCAGTCTGTGACCCTGCAGATGTTACTAAACCACGATTTTGAGCTGTGCTAGCTAGCCAGCATAACCAACACACAATACATGCTCCACAATTGGCTTACAACAAGTCTGGAGAAAGCATAAGTCATAGTCATATAATGTTTTTCACTTAACTCCCATGGTTAGTTGCTTAAAGACTAACGGGAAGTGTCACGGTGATGTGATTTTCCACTTAGCAACTGCAGCACACAGCAATAGAGTTTCTGTCGCAATCACTAAACAAGGACTATCAGTATTTGGTCTTCCTTACCTTCTGGTTTTGTAGTGTATTCATGTTCCAGCATTTAAAGAGATTGATCTTGATAAGAGTTTTTTGTTTCTCTTCCTCTTTTACAGACCTTCCACTCTAAGTGGCAGCCCTGTTATCTCTGATATCTCCCTCATCCGTCTGTCACCCCACCCTGTGGGACCCGCAGACTTGCCTTTCAGCCACCCTCATCCATACATGAACCCCCATGTGGAGCATTACTTCCGGTCCATGCACAGCAGCCCTACTCTGTCTATGATCTCAGCGGCTAGAGGTCTCAGCCCAGCTGATGGTAAGTGGGGCTCAGAGGATTGACTCAATGGTGGAGTGGAAGTTTGGTGAAAAGGGCATGTCTGTACAATAACACTTCCTTGGTCAGAACTGGAGAAACTTCTTGGATGAGAACTGAAATGTCTTCAAGGGGAAACAGCCCAGTTGCCTTTTGGAAAAATACCTTTGGGATTCTCTAGGTCAATTACTGTGAATGTCCATGATCCTTTTGGATAATAACAGTAATATACAAATCAACCTAAATCAGGTCCATGTCAGTGTTACAGACTTACAAATATTATTCTGTTCCATTAATATTTTTTACATTGTTAATAATATTGTTCACAATTTTATGCAGTGCACAACTTTTCCTAATAGACAAGATTTTATATGTGATTATTTCTAATATAGACTTGCACATCCAGTTATTTCTAATACATGCCTTTAAAAAAATTATCTTATGCAGGCTTTTTGCATGCAAGATATATGTTTTGTTATGAATATATTTTTTCCAAAAGTACATTTTGTATGAATTTTTGCATGAGGAACGAGAAACATTACTGGTTTTCACTCCTTGTCATTCATCAGCTGCAAGTGTTGCGAATTGGATCTTTTTACTCCTAATAAAACTGTCATGGGTTTCTTTTATACACGTACCAAATCTCTCACAATAATACGGTTAATAGTAATATTTCCAAAGCAGGACTTTACATTTATGAATTAGTTATGTTCATGAATGAAGAGATGAATCATCCTACTAACAGGTGTCCTTTTGTTAATTACACAAGAGCCTTATTTAAACGCTTCCAATGTCCACTACTTCCCAAGGCAATCTGATGCATTGTTATGCAGCCTTTGCATAAAGACATTTTCTTAATGTCTAATTTAAATCTGCTTCTTTACAATTAACATTTATCTTAATTACAACATCTAGATACAGGCACTGGAATTCTGGGATCACACAATTTGAACCTTGCTGGATATTACAGGAATTTTTTTGGAACCAAAGCTACTCTGCAGATTCTTCCTGTGTATGATCCTAGAATTCCCCGTATTCTCCAATAAATTGGAGGACATGTGGGTTGACCTTTGACCCTTTCATTTCTGGTAGAAGAGCAATCAGACTGAACTTACATCATGGGTAGTTTTGGTCATCGTATCTTATAATGTACTAGTATAAAGGGGAAAAAACTAATAAGAATATTAATATACTAATATTCTTCATTTTCTTTTCACTACTAATATTGTTCTATATCATATCTTATTTGTACATTTCCCAGTAATGCAATATCTTTCTTGGATTATATTGACCAGAAACATACATCGTTATGATTATATCATAGATTTCCAGAGATTTTTCATTGTTTTCTTTGTGATTCATTTCATTTGAAATCTAATGAGACAAAAAAAGGAGCCACGCAAATTCCTTATTTATTTCTTAAAGAAAATTTAAAAAAAAACATTTATTTTTAAATGAAATATTGACAAAACATGGTTCAAACAGGACTGGATCATGAAGAAATGGATGTAGCCCTCACACTCATACATGCCCACCCTTGAACTGTATGCATTCAAAGGAAAGGCAAAGAGCAATCGGTCTAGGACAACTTGCCCCAGCCAACTCATCACAGCCATCTTGCTATGGACAATTCCACATGGGATAACTCAACGCAATAAATGCCCCCACTGTTTCTTCGACATTATTTCCATTGACAAAGTGGAAATAATGTCGAAGAAACAGTGACATATAATACTTATTGCATTGAATGGAATGGAATCATCCATGATGAGTTGTCCCAAGGCAGGTTGGCTGCAACAAAATGCCCATGGTGATTTGGCCACAAGATGGCTGCACCAAATTGTCCCATTCCAGAGAGCAATGGTTCAGCGTAAGACCTTCTTTAGCTGGCCAGCAGCAGGCTGGTGAGAAAGAGGGAAAGGATACTTAGTGAGATTCTCAAACCAAGTCACCAGCCCTGCAGGCCAAATGTTCTCCAGGACTGGTGTAAAGGCTTACAGGGCAAAGGTTTTCAAATTGTTCAAGGTCTGGTTATCAGGCTTCATGAAGGGAAGTAAAGGTCAAGACTTCTAATCAAGCTTGACTCTTGCTGATTTCCTGTCAGGGCCCTTCCAGTTTTCTTGGTAATAATATGAAAGTAGGCTACCCTTACCTTCTTTGTGAACAGATTTGTTTGTTTTACTTTCCAGGCTGACCTTTAGATTACCAAGGAATCTGAAGGGAAGAGTGGGGTTGGGGGTGAGGGGAGTGGACTACATGAAAAGTAGACCAGAAATCACATGTCACTATTCGCTATGCATTGAGTATTTATTATAGCTAATATCAAGAGAAAAAGGAGAGGCATTATCTGTTTAATGAAGAGAAAGATGGAAGGCTGAAAATAATAATTGGGAATACTATTAGCTATACTATTCATGTTCACTAATTTATTCTTGCAAACAGTCTCAAAAGTAATCAAAAGTAAGTGGCATCAATAATGGATTTCAGTAAAAAGCAGCCTCCTATGTGGAAGATTCTATAGATTGGCGATCTGCTACGTAGTCGTAAAGTCAAAACAAAATATCTAACCTTCACTTCTTCTATATATGGGATGCATTTACCTCTGCAGAATGAGGACTGGATGGTATGAGGCGTGTTCTCAGCTAGACAGATGTAATGCATCTGGTAATACCTAGTTTCTCTCTCATTGCTGACTTGGTTTTGTTGATCCCAGGGGCCTTTCCCTTTAGTAAGTGTTAAGCTTCCAAGCTTCTGCATTAAGAAAGCTACAGATGTGTTTTATTGCTCTTAATAGTCTCTCTTCCTCTCAGTATGACCCCCTGAATCTTCTTTCTTCCTGCAAAAGAAATGTTATTATTATTTGGCATTAGAAAGGGGTCTTGGCTTTCAAATTTCTCTCTCTCCCTGTCCCTCCCTCTTCCCTTCCCTCCCTTTGTAAATAAGTTCAGTGTAGAATGGGCACAGAGGCAGGCAGGTTTGAAAAATTCACAAATGGGCAAAAGTGAGGATAATTGGTTCTGGCAAGCTAAATGGTTTTCCAGTGCCAGGCACACTATTTGAAAAAAAAAAAAACCCCCCCTTTCCCCCCCCCCCCCCCCCCCCACACACACACAGACACACACACACAGTTTATTAGATCCCTGCTTTAATTTTCTTATGCTGCTTCTCATTAACTAGGCTTTGTCTGTCTTTCTTTTGTAAAAGGCAGGATGTTAATTTCGACAACATTACTGTATCCAGAAGTCTCCCCTCCTTTCCTCCATTCCCTTCCTCCCCCTCTTTCTCTCCTTTTCCTTCTCCCTTGTGAACTCTCTGTTCATACAGCAGGATTATTTTGGAGTGGGGGGGGGGCTTAGAAATGAGAGATTGTTTATAAATTTGCGGAAATAGAGGAATGTAGAGGGCCCCAGCCTGGTGTCTTTTGTCCAGAGCAAGCACATGTCAGAGTTACTACTACAGTTTTGGCAGGGAACAGGGAGATTCTAACATCTTCACAGATATTTTGCTCTTCTGGAAACATTTTACCCTTCTTCTCTCCACTGCCCCTGTCTTGTTCCCCGTGCAGTAGCTCATGAGCATCTGAAAGAGAGGAGTCTCTTTGGCCTTCCTCATCCTCCTCCAGGAGCCAGCCCTGCAGACTACTATCACCAGATGACATTCATGGCCAGCCACCCGAATCCTTACGGGGATCTCCTTGTGCAGAGTGGAGCAGCAGCCGGGGCCACGCATCTTCATGATTACCTCAGCCCTGTAGATGGTGAGTAAAAGAGCCTTCTCTGGCTTGGATCCGTGTTCAGGAATATTCTTGCTGGAATGAGCACTTCTGGAGTGGGTAAACGGCACTGTAACGTTGATCATAAAAACGGCCCTGAGTGCACTCACCTAGGTGCCTTAAGAAAGATCAGATTGTCGAAAACACTAGGTTACTTGACATCCTCTCACTTCCTGCAGGTGGCTGAAGGCCCTGTTTTGCCACATGGCCCAAATAATAGGACCAACCTCTTTCCCCCACTTGTTTTTGCAAACTCTTCTTAAAGAACGTACAACTTGTCTTGCTAAACCTCCAGTTCTACTGGATAACAAACACCCTCATTAAACTTGGCAGACACTGGGAAGCTAAGACGTGTGAACTGAAAGGCTCTGCCATGCTAAATGAGAGCAGGCACGATTGCTTCACGGTGCAAGAACAAATGCTGCACCCCGCCTCTTCAGAAACTGGGAGGGACGGAGGGAAAAAAAGTTCTCATTTAAAGTGTTGCTTGCTTGTTAAACTTCATGCTTTGAACAGCTCCAGCCTTTCAAACCCATTAAGAAAGGGAGGAATTAATTTTGCAGAATTAGTACAGGTTTTGTGATGAGGATCTCTTTACGTTGTTGAGAGACTATAGGCAAGTCATCTTAGCTGAAGCACTTTTAGCAGTTTTCAGGGGGAAATCGCTACAAACACTTTCATTAAATAAATGTGACTAACAAATGCTTAATATGCCTGGATTGTATGTTGCAGCTTCCCTCTTTTCACAAATATAGATAAGGTGGGAACAACTGGAAATAAGGCAACCATTGAGCAGGTTCTAACTGATGACAATATTTGGGCCTGAGTAGGAGAAAGTTTACTAGGACTTTGCCAATACCATTGGGAAAAGCCACTGTGAAACACATGTCTTATGCATTGCTATAACCGAGTACTGTACTAAATTTAAGATATCTTTTGAGTATAGTTTTCCAGGTTAAACCATGTGCGTGTTTTATAAAACAGAATCTAGTAGCATATTAGAGATCAATTTTGGGGGGTGGTATGAGTTTCGATAACAAATATTCACTGAATTTTAGCCATGTAGCTTATGGGAAAGTTGATGAATACATACACTCGTATACTTCTTGCTTATAGGGTTTGGTGAAATGAAATAGCACACAATTTTTTTCCCCATGGTTCAGATTCCCTCATTTGTTCTCTTTTCAAATCAGCCTCTCTCAGAGTGTGTCTCCACCCCTCCAGCTCATGGCTTCTCTGTTGACGCATAGGCCACAGTAAACCACTCAACCTTTAATGTGCCATAGAAGAATTCGCAGCAGGCCTCTGTGGAGTAAAACTTCAGTTCCGCCCTGTTGCATTTATGTTAATTTCACGCAGGAGGATAAAACCTTAGCAACCTCCAAAGAAATGAGGTCAGCTTTTAAATCTGAGGAGGCTCATCTGTAACTTTAAAAGCCTACTAGTTTAGAAGGGCTGTTTCCCCCTCCCCCTCAGTCCTTGTCCTCTCCAAAGAATTCTTTGTGGCTGTGGTTTTCAATCCTTGGGGTGATTTCCCACCCCCACCCCTGCCTCCCGTTAAAAAAAAGTTGCCTACAAATGAATAACAATGGCTACCACTGTAGTGTTTCCACTTTCTGTAGGTCACACTTTCTGAGGATAGGAAATACGGGCAAAACCCAGTCGCATATGATTTACTAACATGAATTCAAGATCTTTGTGTTTCGCTGCTTATTAGTCATTGCAAAAAGAGGAGCTATCAAAGTTAAATGGATACCAATTTTTTAAAAAAGTAAGTTAATACATGTTGCTGGTTGTGGATGTAGCATCACAATAGTGTTTGTAATGTTGAAATTTAATTTTACTGCACTCAACAGAAAGTACAATATAAGGTGTCTCTCAACGTTCTTTCCTCTGATCTTTTGGCTAAAATTTTGCTGAGTCCTGGATTCTTCAAAAAATCCCATTTACTTATGCTGGCTTAAGGAGCCTTAATTGTTTTTAAAGGTGGTGAGACAGCTTTTGTGTAGCTCAAGAAGGATCTCAGAATACCTTGAACTGCAAAACTAAAGGACCCTAAGAAATTTGTCTCTTAGGACATCATCTGTGCCAGAACAAACACGATGCTGTGTGACACTACAGAACATAAAAAACAAAGTTCACAAGAAAATTACAGATGGCAGCCACATGCTGTTTGGTGCGAAAGGAGTTGCCTGATACAGAACTCTGATGATATTTTTATTTACCGTGCTTCAGCTTAAGTTAATATTGCTTCTGATTTGGTGTCCTATGAATAGGATTTTACTTCGTTTTCAAAAGCAGAAGGAGCACAGAAGGGATATCCAGCCATTTAGGACTGAGTCCTGTTTCCTTTTTGATCAAGCACCAAAGGAGGTGAAGTGAAGCCCTGTAGGGTAGCACTTCACTTGCCCTTTCTGAACTTTCAGCTCTTTTCCAAAAGAGTCAAAGTATTAAGGAAAGGCATAACTTTGAAAGTAGAAAAATGTGTATGCATATAAAGAGGCAGTGGTGATATTCAGCCGGTTCGCACTGGATCGAGCGAACCAGTAGCAAGAATTTGCCGTGGGTCGCCGAACCGGTGGTAAATTCTGGCTGGCCACGCCCCCAGTCCGGTCGACCTCTTGCCCGACACTTGCTTACCTGCCCGCCTGACATTCACCTAAGGTATTTCTTTTTATTTTTTTCTCCCGACAATCAGCTGTGCATAGATAAGCTGTGCCGGGATTCCCCTTGCTGAGGCCCAGGAAGGCAAAAAATGGAGGGAAGAGCTCAGCCCCTCCCCTCCATTTTTTGCCTTCCAGAGTCTTAGGGGAGCAAAAACACCCCCCCCAGGCTCCTCTAAGGTTAGGAAGCTCCCAAAATGGAGCTTGGAGGGGTGCTGTGTGCCCCTCCCATGCTCTGTTTTTTTCCTTCCTGAGCCTCAGAACAGCTTTAGAGGAGCAAAAATGCCCCCCAGAGGCTCCTCTGAGGCTAGGAAGCTCCCAAAAATGGGTGGAGGGTGGCAAAAAAAAGAAGGCACACCCACCCAGTCACATGACCACGCCCACCAAGCCACGCCCACAGAACCAGTAGTAAAAGTTTTTGAATCCCACCACTGTAAAGAGGGCAAGATATATCAGTTAATATGAAGCAAATATAAACCTAAATGAAAAGTAATTGTAATTGTCAAAGCTGCTTGATAATGCCATTATCTTTAAAGAACAGAAATAATTTATATTTAAATCTGATCTTTCTTATTGATGCATGGTTATCCATCCACTTATAAGTCTCCACTAAATGAGACAAGTTTATTTTTATTTATTTATTTATTTTGTCAAGCATATATTAGATAACATGTATAAGTATAAACATGATTATGAATACATGAAATGGATACGAATAAAAAGAAACAATAGGACAGGGACGGTAGGCATGTTGATGTGCTTATGCATGCCCCCTACAGACCTGTTAGGAAAGGGGTGAAGTCAATAGTAGACAGTCTAAGGTTAAAGTTTTTGGGGTTTGGGGAAGAAACCACAGTCAGGTGGAGTATTCCAGACATTGACCACGCTGAAGTTGTATTTCCTGCAATCGAGTTTGTACTCCAGCTCACATTCAGGTAAAGATCTTGGTATGGGAGTACACGGGAAATGGCATGATTGAGGGTAGACTGAAAACTTGCATTATATACACTGACAAATACATCTTGGTTACCAGGATCTATTCTTATGTGGCTATGGGGAGGAAGAACCACAGTCTTTCTTGTGAACAATCAACTGATTTTTTTTCATTCTAGTTTTAACATGTGTTACCCCCATTTTAGTCAGTTAACTGGTTTCTACAGGTTTCCATTTCTTTCATCTCCTGTCCATTCATTTCATATCATATTTCAATCTTCCGTTTTGCTTCCCTGCAACAATTTGTTAGCTGTAATAGCTGTTTTAATCAAACCTGCCTCCCTTATTTATTTCTCCTACTGATTTTTCATTACTTTCAGTAACTTTTAATTGTTTTGATATTTGGTGAATATCAAAACACCAAAATCATTGTATCATTGTAAATATTATATTGTGGTGTGAATATCCTTCCATGCTCCTCATAACCCCTGATTCCATTTTGATGTAACTGGTAGGAGTGTGTGCTAGTATATTAGATAGAATCAACAAAAAGATTGAACCTAGGTAGAAGCAAGGATAAGAATTATTGGGGATGTTGTAGAACATGGATGTCAAACTCGCCGCACCACGTTGCCATCACGTGACGTTTTGCGATGTTTTCCCATTCGCAAAACTGGGGTGGGTGTGGCCTACATGTGACGCATCTGGCCCATGGGCCACCAGTTTGACACCCCTGTTGTAGAACAACGAACAGGAGGGCAACAGGTAGAAAGATAAACCTATTCAGCAATGACCACTGGATCCGTCTTGCAGGAGTAAACTTAACCTTTGGATGGTTATAGTACAGTGGTGGCTAACCTTTTTGGACTCCTGTGCCAAAAATTGCATGCATGCCAGTGTGCACGCACTTGTGTGCCACCACCCAGAATGCAATGTGCACCACCCTCCCCATGCCACCTGCGTATGTGTGTGCAATCCCCCCCTCTGCCACCCCCTTACCTGCACTGTGCCTCACAAGCTGATTTTTCAGTTGGTTTGAGGCCTTTTTTGGTATTACAGGAAGTGATGAAACAGGCCTATAATTCATCCTGAAAAGCCTTGTAGAGGCTTTTTCCAAGCTTCTGGGAGGCCGAAAAAGGCCTCAAACCAACCAAACAAAAATCTGTTAGGTGCGTACATGCGCAGTGAGGTAAGTTTGCCTGCGGCTCGTGTGCCAGCACAAATGGCTCTGCATGACACTTGTGGCACGCGTGCCATAGGTTCACCATCACAGTTTTAATACTTTAAATATGCATACCACAATGTGTCTACTTTTCATTGGTTTAATGACTGCCCATGCCTTATATGATTAAAAAAATATTTTTTGCAGATTCAAAAGTACTCTGTTCC